ATGATGAGGCTCCTTGAGAAGTTCCCGGGGCGGAGTACTGTTTGGAGGAGGGCCAGGAGGGTCCCGTCGTCGGTGCCATCAACTTTATCAGCCTCCGTTCTCCAGCGCTCCAAGAAGTCCCGAAGGGTCTCCTCCTTCTTCTGCCTCACTGTCAGTAGGTGGGAGAAGTGCTTCCTTTAGCGGCGTCTTCCCGCAAATTGCGTCAAAAATCGTTGGACGAGTTCTTGCCATGAGTCAATGCAGCCCTCGGGCAATCGATTGAACCATTCGTACGCCGGCCCCTCCAAGGTGGAAAGGAACCTGCGGCATAAATACTCATCTGATGCCCCCACCATCATCATGTTGTTTTGGTATCTACTGTAGTGCTCCTCGGGGTCAGTTTTTCCATCGTAGGGCTTGATGAGTTGCCCTCGTTATTTCTCCTGGATTCGGGCCGCCAATACTCTTGGGGTGAAAGGCGTCCAGGTCCGGAGCTGTATGGTGGGTTCCCCGGAGCCCTCGGTTATCTTCCTCTGCATTTCCTCCACCTTGGCCAACATGGCCTCATACTTGAGGTCCGTATGAGCGGCAGAAGTGGTGACGTGTGCTTTGGTGGCCTCCATCTCGTCAAGCCGGCGCCGGAGGGCCACAATGATTTCGTCCCAGGGGTCCTTCGGGAGGGCCTCCGCCCCCTGCGAATGGACACGGGCCGAGTGGGACTGGTTGATTTGGTGACGGGCATCGTTGGCATGGAGAGGTGCCTTGCCTTTGTCCTGAGGGGGACGTCTTTCATTGGCCGTGGAGACGAACCCACCACTTTCCTGAGGCCTCTGGAACGCCTTCCCACCAAGGCGGTCTTGGACCCCTCGGCGGTATTGCGCCCCTCCGAGTCTCTCGGGGGCGGAGGTCCGGAGTTGTTCTTTGTTCACATTGTGGCGGTCCCGGGATTGGACTTCCTGAGAGGCCGTATCTTGGGCCATGACCCCCTCGACGTTCCCAACCAGGAGGACTGGGTTCCCGAGGGGGTGTGGATGAGGGGGAGGCATGACATTCTCCCCGACCTGAGGCTGGAGGGGAACCAGAGTGCCGAAGGCACCCGGGTTCTGGGTGAGCGTCTGGATGAAAGCGGAAAACGCCGATTTTACGTCGATTGTAATTACCGGAGGGCTAACTTGGTTCTCGCTCCGGTCCTTCTTCTTAGCCTCGATGCCGAGGCGGGCATCAGGGGCATTCTGTTGAATCTGATGGCGTAGGTCGACAGCCTTCTGGTCCAACCCGGTGATGACGCCGCCCCCGGGAGCCCTGTTAGAGGCTTCGGGGACGTCGACTTCGCCGAGGGCCAGGTTCCTGTCCTCAACATTCTTGGAGTTGGCACGAGTTGTTCTTACCATTTTAGCTAGGTGTTTTTGTGTTTGGCGAGGGGGATAATTGATGCTCATATCCTATAACTAAAAAGATTTGAACAAGAATGTAGTAGAGAAGGAGGTAAGTGTGTATAGAATGAATATTAGTTGTATGAGTTGTGTAGCCTTCTAAAGGAGTATATATATGGAAAATCCGGGTCTGGGCCTCTAATATGGGCCTGACAGACCCGGTTACATAAATGGATTGATAGTACAAACAACTAATCTAGAACATCTGAATAATAATAATAATGTACAATAATATGAATGATATCCGCTAAACGTGTGTGGGCCGCTGTCCAGGCCCAGTAATCAGCAGACCGGGGGGTCGGAGTCCATATATTCCATCAGGAGTCCCTCACTCCCTGAGTCGAGAGTACTCGAGGCGAAAGGGAGTAGTCCAAACTGTATCTGCAACGTTCTTCTGTCTTTGATTTCTTTCTCTCCGGCCGGGGACCACCACCCTTGTCTATGATGGGGAGGTGCCTCGTTAAAAACCTTTACTAGGAAAAAACCCTATGGGAAAAAATCCTAATAAAGGGAAAAAGAGTACACCTAGCGCCCCCAACATGAAACAAGGAAGGTAGGCCCCTTCCGGCATAATCATTTTTGTCTAGTTCAACCTGTCTTCATCTGACTTAGCTGTCGTTCCTGCTCATGCGTGATGTTTGCTGCTCATCCAGAAAATCTGACCTCTCAGTCCCCCAGTCCCCCACTCTTTGAGGCGAGTGGAGTTGAGGTGAAAATGAGTAAAGTCATCTTCATACCTACACATTTAGCATGCATATAAATTTTTTCTTGGGGTTTATGTTTCCGATCGGGAGTTCGTCACTTGAAAAAGTGGAAATGTGAATTGTTGATGTAATGATAGAATACTTAGTAGAGCGGAGGTGTGAGCCATTCGTACGCAACGGACGCCACTCTTGGAATGACTAAGACCGGTCTTCGTGCCTGAGAGTCAAGGCTTTGTGCCTGAGGAGTCAGGGCTTTGTGCCTGAGGAGTCAGGGCTTTGTGCCTGAGGAGTCAGGGCTTTAAATCCTAGAGATGGGCCACAAGCCACACTCTACTAGGCATTTGATCATAAGTGTGTGATAATGTGACATTCGCCCGACAAAAAGAAATGATTTAAATAAATATAAAGCCTTCTGAAAATTAAAGAATACTTATCTGGACCGAAATGGGTGCGGTGGTGTTGTAGCCAGGTGGGAAAATGTACCAAAATTAAAATGTGAATCCCTCTCACATGGGTGACTGGGCCGTATTTCCTTGTCTGCCACTAAATGCCAAGCAGCAACAACTCATAATTTCAGACAGAAGAGGAGCAACTCCCTGACTATTGAAGGAGCCCGCACATGGGAGTTCACTGCCCATGAGCTTCCAGCTTGACCGCACCTGGTGGAGCCACGACAGCAGGTACCATTCTCCGGCGAGTGAGAATCTCTCCAAAGAATAGGAATTTTTCTGATGTCTTGGGTAAATCAACTAGGGAATCTTGGGCGATAAATGGCTGAATTATTCCATCCGGGTCCCTGAGCAAACTGGTCTCTGGATCCTTAGGTAAAAAAGGCCTTGAAACGTGGTCATGTGGAGACTTATCTTTTAAAATGTTCGCATCTCACTTTAGTAAGTCAGCCCATGTGAAGGCGTGTACTGTGCCAGGCTGGTGTGTCTCGACAATGATATCAGATTGATGGGCGTTGGCGGGCCTGAATGTCGCGTGTGCTGGCGCTGAAGCGAGGGAATCTTCCGGCGAGGAGGTGTCCAACCTTTCTCTTGGGCCGTCGAAGTCTGGAGCATATGTTGTTTCATTAAGTGGATAAAAGCAAAACCAAGTCTTCATCTCTATTAAAGTAAACCACATAAGTCGTTCATCTTAGTGTTTTAAATTTATCAACAATCATAAAATCCCCCCTGTTACTAGTTACATAAAAGATGAATATTCTTTTCCCTGTGGATACGAACCTTACTTCATTATACTACGTATAGTTGTTGTATTGAATATTTATTTTGAGTGCACACCACAACAAAGTGCACGTCAAATTTGGCGTCGTTGCCAGGGAAAGGCAATTATTTTTCTTTTATTTCATTGCAAAGAAAAATAAATAAAAAAGTTTTAATAAACAAAATATAAAGAGTTCGTATTTCTTCTATTTCTGAGCTTTGTGAAGTATATGGTTAAACATCGTTCCATAAACGAGATCACTTATCACACAAACCCGGAAATAGAACAAACTTTTGAGCGATTGAAAAGTAAATTTTCAAATACCGACTCGGAGGAATCATCTACCGGAGATTCATCCAACGTTAGCTCTAGTTCTAGCGAGTCCGAAGAGTCCTTTCACATGGCTCTTGAGACGAGACCACTATGGGAGCTCACGGCTCCTAATCTGAACCAACAACCGTTGTGTATTACTTTCCCTACACTCGATGAGGGTAATACATTTGAGCTAAAATCTGGGCTCATTCATCTATTGTCATCCTTCCATGGCCTAAGAGGGGAAGATTCGAACAAACACTTGTCAGAATTCCATATTGTGTGCACAAGCATGTGCCCCAACGGTGTCACGGAGGAACAAATCAAACCGAGGGCCTTTCCATTCTCTTTGAAGGACACCGGAAAAGATTGGCTTTTCTATCTTCCTTCGGGAAGTATCAATACATGGGCGGCTATGAAAAAATGCTTCCTTGAAAGGTACTATCCCGCCTCCATCTCATCATCTCTCAAGAAGCAAATATGCAACATTGAGCAAAAGGATGATGAGTCCTTGTATGAATACTGGGAAAGATTTAAAAAGCTATGTGCTAGCTGCCCCTATCATGGTTACACAGAACAAGACCTCATCTTATACTTTTATGATGATCTTGTTGACGATGATAGAAGAATGGTGAACGCCGCTTGTGGAGGCGGCATTATTAACAAAACTCCCTTACAAGCAATAAGCTTGATCTCGGAGTTGGCCGAGAACTCACGGCAATTTGGCCGCAAATCCTCAACTCGAAGAGTTCTTTCTACAGAAACAAACACAAACGCTCTAGAAAGTCAAGTTGCCGACTTGATTTCTTTAGTAAAACAGCTCCTTCTAAAACCAAACATTCAGGAGGTCAAAGCTTGTGGCGTTTTCTCATCAACCGGACATCCCATTGATTCGTGTCCATCACTCCAAGAAGAGCAAGTCAACGCTCTGGGTTTCTAAGGGCATCAACAAAGGAGGTATGATCCATTCTCAAATTCTTACAACCCGGGATTAAGGGATCATCCAAACTTAAGGTATGGAAACCCCCAACAATACAATCCATCTTCTCAATCATCTTTCAACACCCAAGGCTCAAATTCTCAATCTAATATGTCAACTGATGACATGACCCAGACTTTGACCTCAAACATGGTTACCATGCAACAAAACATGGGACAATTTCAACAAACCATGATACAATTTCAGCATGAGACAAAGTCAATCATAAAAAATTTGGAAACTCAAGTTAGCCAAATTTCAAATGTCATGAACCGACTTGAAGCAAAAGCCTCGGGTAAACTCCCATCTCAAACAGAGCAAAACCCGAGATAACATGTGAATGTCATCATGTTGAAAAGTGAGCTGACACTGAAGGGGGTAGAGAAAGGAGATCAGGAGATTGAGGAGGTATACCCTGAAGAAGAAGTTCAGACGAAGGAGAAGACCACAAAGGCCAAATTACCACCATTGTCATCATACGAGCCACTCTCACCATTCCCGGAAGCACTCAAGGAAACAAGGAAGCTGGAGAGAAATGCGGATATCTATGAGACCTTCGCCAAGTGTGAGGTAAATATTCCACTCCTTAACTCAATTAAAAGTGTTTCTCGATTCGCTAAATTTTTAAAAGAATTATGCACAATCAAGAGGACAAAACATTCAAAGGGAAAAAAACCAAGTGAAATTAGTAAACATATCTCGGCAGTTTTTCAAAAGAACTTCCCAAAAAAATGTGTTGACCCGAGCACGTTTACTATACTTGGGGGCATCAATTAACGTGATCCCCTATACTCTTTATAATTCTTTGAACCTTGGCCCTTTAAATAAAACAAGCATCATAATTCAACTAGCTAATAGATCAACTATTTCCCCGAAACGGGTAGTGGAAGATGTACTAGTTTCGGTAGGTGATCTAGTATTTCCTGCCGATTTTTACGTGCTTGAAATGGAGAGTGATGAACACAAAGTCCCTATTTTGTTGGGGAGACCATTCTTAAAAACTGCTAATTCAACGATTGATGTTTCTAGCGGACTTTTAACTATGGAAATTGATGGAAGGAAAATAGAATATAACATTTATAATTCTATTAAAAATCACTCTCCCTTTAAAGAATCAATTTTGATCATTGAGGAATCACTAAATAAACCACTGGTGGTTGAGGTGGTGGCAAGAAAGAAAACTTGGCCTTACTGGAAAAGGCCGAAAAATAAAAGTGAAAAATGGCCAAATAGGGCCTTGAAAAATGAAACAGGGGATGCTCATGATCCCACAAAAAACAGAAAAGAAAACAAAAATAAGTGTCGTGTCGCGACGTTAACTAAGGCGCTTATTGGGAGGCAACCCAAGCAAGGTACGTAGATTATTTATTTATTTATTTATTTATTTTTCTCTCTTTCAAGTTTCAATTTCTATTTTGAGAGAATGAGAGATAGGGCACTAACTACATGTTTTGGAGGAAAAAAATGCAATTTTTTGACAATCTGAGGATATACCCGATCAGGTACCATATATTACTTGATCGGGTATGGCTAAAAAAGGGGGACCGAGTCACTACTCGATCGAAGGATTATAATTTTTTCAAAAATACATGGATACTCGATCGGGTACAATTACATACCCGATCGAGTATTCATAGAAAAGCGAAGCTAAAAAAAGCCCGCCTCGAAGACTCGATCGAGTAAGGAGCTCAAAATATGAAAAAAGACGAATAACCGATCGGGTATGACTTCCTACCCGGTCGGGTAGTGCTGGAAATTCCAACGCCCAAAACCCCTGCCTCCAGCACCCGGTCGGGTATAACAAGATACTCGATCGGGTATGCCTGAAAAACCGAAGCCCAAACCCGCTGCCTCCTATACCCGATCGAGTACAGCAAGATACCCGATCGGGTACACCTGCGTTTTAACCCAATCAATACCCAAAAACTCCATCTTCTTCAACTCTCAACCCAAAATTCGAACCCCTCTCCCCCAACCTCCATTTTTCGACCTTCTCTCTACCATATCTCACTCATTCCTCCATCAAATCACCCCATTCCACCACCAAACTACTCCTCTCACTCTCCTCTACACACCCATACCCAAAAATCAAATTTCCCCCCAAAATCCCAAAGGTCCGAAAACCCTACCCCATTTTCGAAATTCGGATTTTTCAAGCCTCAACCACACCAAAATGGCACCAAGGAAGAGCAAAGGAGACAACTCCAACACCATGACACCCATCCCGGGCTACGAGGACCTCCAATTCGCCAACGCCGAACACCGGACTCGAATTCTCGCTATAATAACAAGGCAAGTAAAACCATCCCGTTTTCTATGCCATGAGGCTCTACGTGAACTAGGAATTTATAGGAGCACTAAGCAATTCTTTCATGAGTTGGACATGAACCGTATTTTCAAAATGAAATACAACAGTAATGAAAGAATTATCTATGAATTCATTAGTTCGGTGCACTTCCAGAGCAATGAGGATGACTTTAGGGATGACAAGCTCACGTTTCGTCTATTCAACCAAGAATATTCGATAACAAAACTTGAGTTTGCCGAACACTTTGGTATCCCTGTCCCCTATGAAAGAGCAATTTCCGACAATACCATATTCGGTCACACACTTTGGACAAAGATGACCGGTGAACTGCACTTCAGCTCCTCCCAACTATACATAAGCCATGTCCACCACCCCATCCTAAGGTTATTTTTAATGTTTTTGGCGAATTGCTTGCTTGGGCGCCCCAACAATCATCATACTGGGATGGGGGGCGTATGCTTGATGACTGGGGTTTTGTTTCGTCAGACTGTGGATTTTAATCTGTGCAATTTGATGTGGGCACACTTGAAGAAAGAAAGCACGGCCAAAGGGCCAATTGTTGTAGGTGGGGTGATAATGCATTTGGTAACAAAGTTTTGGTATACGGATAACTTTCCTATACCCGACTATTGTTTAATGAATATAGCTTGGTTAGTCCACTCGGGGTGCACATCTTTTTCTCACACGGTGTATGGCGATGAAAGTCCAAGAAATGTGTACAATTGGCTCATACACCCTAAGCCTATAAGACACTTCCCCATGCCTAACCCGAAACTCCCCCAACTATTGTACAACATAGAAGTGTCCCATTACTTATTCCCCAATGCCCTTCCACCTCATCTCCAAGACCCTCAACACGAGCATAACGCCGAACCCCATGATCATGAGGACATGGACACGGACATCCCCGAATAGCCCCAAAACCCTCCACCACCCAACTATTTCCAACAACTTTTGGAGGGTCAACAACAACTACTTGCGGGGTTCAACCAAATGAACCTCAACTACACGGCTATGGGAGAGCGGCTCACCCGAGTAGAGGAGGAGCAAAGAGCAGGATTTCAACGGATAGAGGAGATTCGGGAAGTCGAAAATCGGAGATATGAGGAGGATCAACGTAGGTTCTATGGACCTATGTACCCTACATAGCCAATCAAGGCTCTTTTCATACTATGGCCACTCCTCCTCCACCACCCTCTTGGTATGACCCCACTCATTGGGGTAGCTTTGGTGGTTCAAGCTCCGGTGGTGGAGGATATGATGGTGGAAATGGAGGCAACGACACAATGGGGGATGGCGGCACGGTAGCGGATTTGATGGCAGCTTTGCGGGCGGCTTTGGAGGAGGCTACTATGGCGGTGCGGATGGGCACTAGGGATAGTGCCTTGATCCAAGTGTGGCGGGGGGGGGGGGGGGGGGGGGGGGAAGACTCATCTTTTGGTATGTTGAATTCCCTTTTGTTTTTACCTTATACTAAGCATTACTTTCTTGTACTCTTTGTACACACAAAAAAAAATGATGAGTGAGTGGTAAGGAATGAAAAATAAAAGAGATGCTAGGATGAAAACCTGAAAAGGCTCACTAGTAGAAAAATGGCTTACAGTGACACTGTTTGATAAAATGACATTAATGATATAAAAGTGTCACTCTTTTCTAACAAAAATACATGAGCATCATGTAGTGACACTTTCATTTTTACGGAGTATATTTGAAGGCCCACGCGCTTCACTATTCTTATTAGTTATTACTTACGGGGCCGGCCTGCTAGTAACCCTAAATCCATCGCTCCAGGCAGTGTTTTCCTCAGCGATGAGAGGATGAGAGGCACGCGCCAGAGAGTTTTCCTCAGCGACAAGATGAATCACCTATCTGCAGGCGACACTCTCGATAGCGGCCGGTAGGGATCTTGGAAGAGGGCGTCGCTGGCAACCTCAGAGAGAATTGTAATTGCATCCGTGCTTTCGATCGACTCAGCAAGCCTACTACGGAGAAGCAACTGAGAGATCGAAGGTTGAACGACTGGAACAATTGACCTTAGGTTCAAGTTGAGCGACAGACTTTGAAATAGAGCTATAGGGATTTCTTCTCCAGCGACCAAAGAAGGCATCGCACCATCAACGACACTTTAAGACGGCCTCATCTCAGATTTCAAGCTCTATGACCAGGCTCCACCAAGAAATGGGTTTGATCTTACCAATTTTTTATTATTTACTACTTAGCATTATTCATTGTAGTGTTATAGAAATACTTCCACCAAATGGAGCGAGCAGAGCCCATAGCAGCCGACCTAAAGAGGATGAGAATGGGAAGGAACAAGCCATAAGCTCCTCCACCAAATGTGATGCCTATGGAAGTCCAATATTAGCGATCAACAATTTGGCAGCTCATTCCTAGGACAAATTTGGCAGCTCATTCCCAGGTTTATTTCATTATTTTTGGCAGTCCAACAATCTACAGTATGTTCATGAATTATTCATGAACAAGAGTTTTCTTTTGGTTCCAAAAAAATGACATGATACTTAGTTGAGACAGTTTGTAACTTTGTATGTAAATCGTATTTATCTACAATCTACATGAGCACCAAGATTGACTTATAGATTGATAAATTATAGCCTAATATTGATAGGAACTTGGAATGCATCTATGGTGTTTGATAAAATTCCTCAAGGAAGCAATGCAAACTTTAACTAGTAATTTATTTCAACGTAGAATGGAATAAATTATATTGATGATTGTTTTGGAATATTATTTCAATGTTTTTTTGTAAGAGCAATGTGACAGACTGGTTGTGTAAAATTTTGCCACCAGCCTAATAATGTTTTTTGTATGAATTTTGTCACCATCCCTTCATCTGCTGCCCCTAAGAAGCTTTCTGGTTGAGGAGGCTTCACCCGAATAACCAGATTTACACTTTTCAGGTGATCTCTTATTATTATCAACCCTAATTCACCCTTTTTCAGTTGTTATTCAGGCCGGTTTATCTCACCAGAGAGTGAGTTATCAGCTGCCTGCTAGCTAGGGCTTAGGACTTGTTTGGTGCATATGTAACTTTGCAAGAACGAGTTCTGTCTCTAACTCAATCAAAACCCCATTTTCTGTTTTTTTTTTTTGGCATTTTTATTTGCTTCCATTGCATTCCACTATTGGGAGTATTTGCCATGATGAGTATGAATACGGAAACCCAAGTTATATAGTATTAGCTCCAGCCTCCATCTCAAAGTTATGTTCTTCTTGTTCACTTTTCGTACAGTAACTTAACTCTATCTTAATTTCAGATTTTGTATATCATACTCTTGAGTTCTTTTTTTTATATAGTTCAATAGAACTTTATTGTCCAAGTGTAGTTTCTAACTTTCTAAGTATTCAAATGTTAACTGTCAGTCAAGAGTTAACTTTCTTTTTAATTTTTATGATAGTTCAGTCTAGACATTTGTAAGGAAATAAGGAAATAAACTTTCTTTTTAATTTTTACTTCTAATCTAATATCCAATTGCAATACATACTAATATTCATTCATGACAGTTCAATCTAGAGTTCAGTAGCACATATTTTAATTTTTTTCATACATATGGGCATATGGCTACTGGACTATCATCTAGAATGATTAGAATCTAATTCAATTTTTTTAACTCCATAGTCTGGTGCACTGATGTACTGATGTTTTTTAACTTTTAATTATTATTGTAAACCTAGTTGTCCTAACTTATTAATTAGTAGTATGTCACATGTTTATTATGTTTAAACTTTAAACTTTATTTTTTAATGTAGTATTATTTGCCAAGAATATTTTATTTTTTGATATTATGTTGAATCTGAGTTGGCCGCCTAGTCGGCGACTAATCGGCGCCTAGTCCGCCTAGGTGCTAGGCGGTGCTTGACCGCCCGACTAGCGCCTAGCGAATTTTAGAACATTGGCTATAACTACTCCATCATTAACTCGGAACTCCTTGACATGAAGAAGTAAGGCAGAATTTAAGTTCAACCCCTGTATTCAAAGGTTATAAGTAAGTTCTCCTCTATTACATTGAAATGCATATATTTTCATAGAATAAGGGCATGTTAATTACTTAAGTGGTGGATACTCTATATAGTTTTGTTTTTTAGATGTAAGGATGGTGGTTAGATTAAAAAAGCACGTACACACAACATAAGAACTAAAAGCATAAAAAAACAGGAGCATAAAACTATTTTGATTAGATAAATATTGAGTCAATACAACTATGTGTGCTCTCTTTATCAGATTTGTATTGAGTTTATGAATAAGAAAAGAAGATATTTGAATAGAGAGTTTGGTCATCTTGTTATGTAAAGATGGCAAACATGTGTCACTAATAAGTACACTGTTTTATGCTATTCTTTAATATTATGAGAAGAGGCTTTGCTGTCTCAAATGCTTTGCTGTTGTTGTTGCCAGTAAACTCTTTTCTATTTATGTTAAAAAATAACTTACTCTTAATTCTGTAAGAAATCTTAGTAGCATGGAAATGTTTTTTTTCAAAAGTAAGGGTTACATTTAAAATTTAAAGTAGTTGCTTTGTGAGGTCACCCTATGAATGTTATTTCAAGGAAGATACTGAATTGGGCAACAACATTATGCATATGTATTTATCAAAGTAGTGTCATCCTCCTCTTGTAGCCACTACTCAAATATGGAACCTAAACATAATAGGACACGTGTAATGTATAATTATCCTAGTTGGGACAGGTGCAGTAGCTATTGAAAGGCAAACTTTTCACCAATTTTCCCTGGACTGCATAATTTACTTTCACTTTAAGATAGAGGAAAACTGAATAGCAACACCAAATACAAACTTATTGTTAAAAGACAAAGAGTAGACACTTCACTTTATAATTTTTTTAGTGAAAGATGGTGGCTCTTTTACTGCAAAGAAGAAAAGTCTGGCTCAGAGTACGAGTGGAACAAATTTGAGCACTGTAATAGTAACAGTATTTCCTATATGAATTTCAATGTAGGCAATTAAGTTCAGTAGTAATAAAATATGGTGTGATGTTTTATTGTACTAATATACAAAATTGCTTTCTTTTATTTTACCTTTAGAGAAGAGAGAGCTATTTCAAGATCTCACCCCATTACTATGGAATTCATTTTGGTACTATTGCTACACTATTGCAGGTATTGTCCACATACTTCCCCTATTGCAGATATTGTTTCATATGGCTGAGTTAATTTAAATTTTTGCAAAAATAAATGAGTTGCATTTGAATGATCAAAACATATTAGTCACAAGTTTGCTTCCAGATTGTTCTCACATCCGTAACTACCCGTATTATTGCTTATTTTGAGTCTCTTTCTCTTTTACTCACATGTGCATATGTGTATACTTTAGAAACACAACCAAAAATAGGTTGATTTTTGTGAGTAACATGTTGATTTTATAATTCTTATATTGCATGACCATTTAATACTTCAATCTAATTTTTCTCATGGTTTAAACAGGTGGATCTTTTACTTTTAATACGAATACTGCATGTGGAAAAAGGAGAGCGAGAAATATTGTTGGTGATGATAGTGAGAACGAAATAGAGTTTTATGAGAGAATTGTTAGAGAAAGTAATGGTAAGAGGATGGCGTTAATAATTATTTAAATTTATAGTTATTTTTTCTTAATTCATTTAATACTTTAAACTAATTTTGGATTGTGCTGAATCGGAGGTAGATCCGACATTTCCCCAAGATCCAATTGGTAATACTATCTATTTCATTTATAATAAATGGCTTATATTTAATTTTTCTCTTACTGTTTTAGTACTTCAATTCATACTTATGCACTAGTAATAAGATAATGTTTAGTAAGTAACGAAGTTTTGTCGGGTATAACTCTGGTTTCCTATCTGCAGTCCTATGTGCACTAGTATAACTCTGTTTAGTAACAAGGTCTTTATGTTTTGCAGTAAGATATTCGTGAAACAATGGCAAAAAATCCTTCACCTTCTAATGTTGAGGTATATTTTTCCATTTCTGCCTAGCATATTGATTTCACAAGCTGGACATTGTATACATTATTTTTAAGTGGTGCAGCCAAAATTCATGTGTGATATTCTGCTTGTAGATAATCAGAAAAATAACATAGTGTGTTGAAATTATGATATGATTCTTTTTGGTTTCCTCCATATTGAGGCGAGAAAAAGTATATCTAAAATCTGAAAAATAATCCTCGAGGTTGTTCTCTCGAAGCGGAAGAAGTGTTTTCTCTTGAACAAAAGGGGGAATGATGCTGCTATGAAGATCAACTTGATGATGTGTGAAGACATTGTAGAATTACAAATTGTTAGCAACATTGTTTGATTAATTTTGCTATATGTATGTAGGACGTGTAGGCGGCTCACTTTGGTGTTGAATGTTGGATTTTTTGTCATGTTTTTTCCAGTAGAACATTTTCTGGGTTTGCATACCTTAGAATATATGCAAACTTTAACAACAATGTAGCCTTGAGCTTCAAATGAATATTATGCTTTAAAAGTTGAGTCCATGTTTTGAGATTTATTTACTTTATTATCATTTATGGGATTAGTTAATATTGAATTGGAATTTTTAAAATATGATTGAAATGGATTTTTTAAATACCGTAGTGTCACTAAAATATGTGATGTAAAAGTGTCGCCGAATAGTTATGTCGCCAAGGTATCACTATTTAGTGATACTTTAGTGTCACTAGAGTATATGATGTACAAGTGTCGCCGAATAGCTATGTCGCCAATGTGTCACTATACTGTGATATCGTAGTGTCACAATTTTGTGACACTTGTAGTGACACTTAAAAAGTGTCACTTGTAGTGTCACTAGCCCCCACTTTCAGTGACACTTTTTTAGTGTCACAGAAACTTTCAGTGACACTAATTTGGTGTCACTGTAAGACATTTTTCTAGTAGTGGCTCCTAGGCAAAATGAGAGATATGAGAGAGATATTTGTTGTTGCATGACATGATCTCTTGAAGATGAAGAAGAAAAAGAGGAAGAAGAAAGGAGGAGAAGAGAAGATGAGCACTAAAGACCATAAAACCCAAGAAGATGTTGTAATTTGAGCTTAAAACTCGTGTTTTATCCTTGGTGGTCTTTGTGTTTTTGTCTTTCTCTTGTTAAATTGTGGGAACTTTGTAAGACTTGACACTTGTGAACATTTAAATTTACTCGAGGACGAGTAAAGACACTAAGTGTGGGGGAGTTGATAAACATATAACTTCCATGTTTATGTTTTTATTAGTTTTTATTGATTTTTACTTTGGAATTTACACACTTTTGGTGTAATAGTTTAGTTTGTTAAAATACTTTTAAATTGTTTAGATTAGGTTTATTTTGAGCTCAAACAGGTCCATGATCACTAAAAGGACAGTTGGTGAACCCCAAAAGTGGAAGGAAGGTGCAAAATCACAAGACGAAATGAAGATCCTGATTTTTTGTTTATACCCGGTCGGGTATGACCTATACTCGATCGGGTATCTTGTTGAAACCTCAAATCAATTCGGATCCAAAGAAAAAGGAACATGCAGAGAAGATTTGGACGACGATCGAGTGTCTATACCCGATCGGGTACACCGACACACCCAATCGGGTATGACTTTGATTTTAACTTGAAATCGATCGAGTATGCCTCGAATATAGCTTTGTACACATACCCGGTCGGATACCTTGTATATACCCGATCGGGTATACCTTCAACTTTAACTCTGAATTCGGTCGAGTATACCTCGAATATGGTATTCTACACATACCCGGTCGGGTATCGTGTATATACTCGATCGGGTACCCGGACTGCATGCTCAAAATCCTATAAATACACCCACTTCCCTTCATAATTAGATCACCAATTCACATATACTTCTTAGCTCAGTTTAGACAAGCTCTTTATATTTTCTTCATGTTTAGTCTCCAAATGAGGAGCTAAACTCTTCCATCTTGGTTTTGCTGCTTTGAAGCTTAATGAATTTGTAAGTTGTGAGTTATTTTCTTTAACCTTCTTCCTTGAATATTAATTATTTCCTAATCATATCTCATATTAATATTTTGAGCATTACTTAAAGGATCAACTAGTTTTGTTTCATATATTAATTATTACTAGACTCAATCGATTAATACGCTTGTTATTAATTCGTTTCATTCACGGTAGTAAACTTGGATTATTAATGCATGCGTCTCATGGTTAATAATCTAAGGGGAATTAATTATGTTGATTAAACCAATAAACCGCTTGTGTTGAGGTTATCAATCTCAATCTTTTTCATCTTGATTTTATTGCTACTGTCGAGTTGATATACGGCGTGTGTTCTATATTATCTCGGTAGTAAGTTTTATTAATGAACGCGCCTCGTTATTAATAACTACCCTCGATGAACTGGATATACTCCTCGATTGAGTATTCGAGAGGAAGATAGTTAAAGATATAACCGGGATCGACAAACATTTCATTAAGTGGATAAAAGCAAAACCAAGTCTTCATCTCTATTAAAGTAAACCACATAAGTCGTTCATCTTAGTGTTTTAAATTTATCAACAATCATAAAATCCCCCCTGTTACTAGTTACATAAAAGATAAATATTCCTTTCCCTATGGATACAATCCTTACTTCATTATACTACGTATAATTTTTGTATTGAATATTTATTTGAGTGCACACCATGACAAAGTGTAAGTCACTTCTTGTGCTCGTTGCTTGAGTGATTGCTCCAGAGAGAAGATTTGGTTCGTGCTTCCTCCATTCTGTTTTGAACAATAATAAAGTTGCTCATGGAAATTTTACTATAGAGCCTGTGTGCTCATGATTCGCCCTGTGTGGCATTTGTTTTAAACTATGTTTTCACCCCCATATTGATTTGCTTATTATGTTTGTTTATGGATGACTTATGTGTGAATGATATTCAAGACGCCTTGTATAATATGGATGTGTTTGATTGTGGTTGACTTATGTTTGTTTATGGATGTTTTCATCCTACTTCATCTTCTAATATGGTATCAAGAGCTCGTGTTTGATTTTTCTCTTCAGCATGGCGATTGATAGTACGACATCATCATCCACCTCCTCTACTAGAAACTTTGCCTTTCCAGTAACCTTTGCTCATCCGCTTCATCTCAAACTTGACTCAAAAAATTTTCTGTTTTGGAAACAGCATGTAGAATCTGTTGTTCGTGTACGGCGGGTTGATTGTGGTTGACTATTCGTATTGTACGGCGGGTTGTTGAGGTGTCCGGGTAGGTCCGGGACGTGAAAACATACCACCGGGAATCACCCAAAAAATGAGGTGGCCAGACCACCGTTCTATTCGCCCCGGTCGGACGGGAATATCACTCACTCACACACACACACTATTAGTAATATACTTGTATAAGTGAGCTGACATAGTTATGCAGAGTTGGTTAGAGTCTTGTTAGATAAGTTATTATAGACTCAACTCTAATTAGCTAAGCCTATATTGTATATATTGTGGTTGTACGCTACTCTTCTAATGATGAGAATTCATTCATTCATTCATTCATTCTTCTTCTTCTTCTTCTTCTTCTAATCTTCATCCTACTTCATCTTCTAATATGGTATCAAGAGCTTGTGTTTGGTTTTTCTCGTCAGCATGGCGATTGATAGTACGACATCATCATCCACCTCCTCTACTGGAAACTTTGCCTTTCCAGTAACCTTTGCTCATCCGCTTCATCTCAAACTTGACTCAAAAAAATTTCTGTTTTGGAAACAGCATGCAGAATCTGTTGTTCGTGTATGGCGGGTTGATTGTGGTTGACTATTCGTATTGTACGGCGAGTTGTTGAGGTGTCCAGGTAAGTCCGGGACGTGACAACATACCACCGGGAATCACCCAAAAAATGAGGTGGCTGGACCACCGTTCTGTTCGGCCCAGTCGGACGGGAATATCACTCACACACACACTATTAGTAATATACGTGTATAAGTGAGCTGACATAGTTATGCAGAGTTGGTTAGAGTCTTGTTAGATAAGTTATTATAGACTCAACTCTAATTAGCTAAGCCTATATTGTATATATTGTGGTTGTACGCTACTCTTCTAATGATGAGAATTCATTCATTCTTTTCTTCTTCTTCTTCTTCTTCTTCTAATCTTCATCCTACTTCATCTTCTAATATGGTATCAAGAGCTTGTGTTTGATTTTTCTCGTCAGCATGGCGATTGATAGTATGACATCATCATCCACCTCCTCTACTGGAAACTTTGCCTTTCCAGTAACCTTTGCTCATCCGCTTCATCTCAAACTTGACTCAAAAAAATTTCTGTTTTGGAAACAACATGTAGAATCTGTTGTTCGTGTACGGTGGGTTGATTGTGATTGACTATTCGTATTGTACGGCGGGTTGTTGAGGTGTCCAGGTAGGTCCGGGACGTGACAACATACCACCGGGAATCACCCAAAAAATAAGGTGGCTGGACCACCGTTCTGTTCGGCCCGGTCGGACGGGAATATCACTCTCACACACACACACACACTATTAGTAATATACGTGTATAAGTGAGCTGACATAGTTATGCAAAGTTGGTTAGAGTCTTGTTAGATAAGTTATTATAGACTCAACTCTAATTAGCTAAGCCTATATTGTATATATTGTGGTTGTACGCTACTCTTCTAATGATGAGAATTCATTCATTCATTCTTCTTCTTCTTCTTCTTCTAATCTTCATCCTACTTCATCTTCTAATATGGTATCAAGAGCTTGTGATTGATTTTTCTCGTCAGCATGGCGATTGATAGTACGACATCATCATCCACCTCCTCTACTGGAAACTTTGCCTTTCCAATAACCTTTGCTCATCCGCTTCATCTCAAACTTGACTCAAAAAATTTTCTCTTTTGGAAACAACATGTAGAATCTTTTGTTCGTGTGCATAAACTACTTCATTTCATCGTTGATCCTAAAATTCCACCTCGATTTATTGATTCGGCTCATGAAGCAAGTCATGATGTCAATGAAGCGTTTTTTACCTCGGAACAGCACGATCAGATGCTTTTCTCCTAGCTTTTGGCCTCGCTATCGGAAAAGTTTCATGTGGGTGTTATTCATTGTCGCTATTCGCATTAGATCTGGAATGAAATTCAAAGTCTTCAAGTCCAACATCATCGCACAAGATACGCAACTAAAATCTGAGCTCTACACAACATCTAAAGGTGAGCGAACAATTTCTGAGTATCTTCTTCACATCAGAGTATTATCGATGCACTGGCTGGCATTGGTGAATCTATCTCTACGAAGGACCATATTAATGTTACACTTGAAGGTCTCCAAGAGGAATATGAGTCACTTGCCTCTTCTATCACTGCTCGCAGTTCTCTTGATCCAGCTATACTCTCCAAAGTTGAATCATTACTCCTAGCTAAGGAAATGAGGCT